CACCCCCACCCCCACCCAAAAACGTTTTCTACAAGGGGATTGATTGGTAGTAGCAGGATTCGTACTTTGAGGTCAGGGTTATTGGGAACCAACGAAATATCGAGGTCATCAAACCGGTTAGGATTTTCGTCGCAATAAGCATTAAATTCCAAACAGGAGCTCAGCAAACATTAACTTAGAGCGTCTCCAATTCTTCTTTCAAAGTGGTAAACGAATTTTCTTAGAATTTTTTAATATTGGTTATCCCTTTCCCAAAGTTCATGCAACTATTTCAGACACAATTAATCACCGACCTTGTTAATTCTTCACATTTGTCCGGGTTTTAAAATTTTTTTTTACTATATTTTACTTACAGCAAATTATATCCTCTCTTTGAAGTAAAAGAGTTTTTATTATGCTTATATATTAGATACATAATGAACATATCTGGATGCATAATAATTATCCCTTTAATTAACTAATTCATGATACATTAAAATTAGTAGATAATATTAAATGCCGATAGTTCATTTATGTGAAATGTGACGAAATTCAGCTTTTTAATCAATACTTGGGCAAAATGGGCAAAATCAGAATCATTACGCTACGTAATGAATGATAAATGATGGCTTACCCCAAAATAGTAACCTCATTTAATAAATTCTTGTTGCGCTGACCTTATATCACTTCGCAATGTGCGTGAGATTCCTTCACGTCATCGCAAGATACCCCAAACCCAATATGGCGGACATCTTTGACTGGTTGACTTCTAAGGCAATTTATATTTATTTTAGATGAGCAATAAATACGATTCAGAGGTTGAGAAGGAGGTACTTGAATGGATTGCTCAATTAACTGGAGCCAAGATCGAACGTGGTCGGGAAAATGTCGCTGCTGCTCTGAAAGATGGCGAGATTCTCATGAAGTGAGATTTACACGCACCATAAAAATTAACATTTGAGATTATTCCTTCATTGCATTTTTTTCATTTGAAATATCCCCCCCCCCTTTTTTCGATAGTTCTATTCATTCATTTCAAATGGCAGGTGTTTTGATAATTATCATTAACCATTTAGCTGACTTCGGGCTTCAAAGAGAGGAAGAGGAGGAGGAGGAACATCAAAGTGACAAAAAGTCAAGAAGTGGGACAGAATAAGGATTTACAGATGTAGAAGGGATAGAGCCACAACGGCAGAGAAAAGGTAAGATGAGTACTGTTGAAGGGGTCGAATATGACATGCAGTGGGGTCATGGTAGTTTGGAGTCAGAAGTCAACTGCCGGTTTACAGACTTGTTTGCCGTATGAGTATACGTTTTCCAGGGTGCACCGTGTGGAGGTAAGACAATCGCACCCCCACCCCACCTTTTTCGATAGTTAAATTGAAATTATGCTTTTATAATTCCTGGCTTGAGTTCAAGATACAGACTGATCAATTAACTTTGCCGTGTTAAACTTTAAGAATGTCGTTTAAGTAAAAAGTTGACAGTATTAATTCTAATTTAATTTATGAATTGCTTCAATTGTAACCATAATTAACTTCATCTCTGATGACAAAACTCATGCCCATTTCGAAAAGGTAATGATATATGCAGTGTTTGGCTATTTCCTTTTATCATTTAGACTGATCAACACAGTGTATGAAGGAACTCCAGAACTGCCGCCGAATGCTGCCCGTCTTCGTAGGCCCTTCAAGGTGAACGCCTCAAAAGTCTCCTTCAAGCAGGTATTCACCCTTCCGAATTCAGTCCACTCCCCTCCAGTCCTCCCTCCCATTTTCCCACCACTTCTAAGAAGCAAAATCATCTTGTCATTTAATATCATCTTTTGCTGTTTAATTAGTTATTTTATGAGGTTTATTTTGGAAACTTAAATTTTTTGTTGTTTCTAACCTAGATGGAGAATCTAGAGGTATTCAATAGAGCTTGCGCAGCCTATGGTGTGGGTAAAACAGGACTCTTCCAAACTGTTGACCTCTACGAAATGCGGAATATGGGACAGGTCATAAACTGCATCTATCAACTCGGAACTGAGGTGAGCTTGACATGGCATTAATTTTAACTTTTTTTTTGATTTCCTTTCTCTTAATAGTATATTGTTATTTAACATTTTAACACCCTTATGACCGTACGGTCCTCTTTTGAATAAGTTCCATTGGTACTAGACTAGCAACAGACGACCCCAATGCCAATTGAAGCATGATCATTATATGTCTATAGTCTCCGCCTGATACCTCCAAAACTCATCACGTCAGCATCAGTCTGCTGTGGGATATCCATAAATGCGGTTGGGTTCATTTTTCAAAAAAATCTATAATTCGGGCTTTAACGAGTTGCCAGGGGTACATATTTAACCCTGGGAATATTTAACCATGAAAAAGTTTCCCGATTGTAGCTAATATGAGTCTGTGAATCTGCATAGAGGTTTAATGCCAACTAGCTTTATAAATCAATGGTAGATGGGAAGTATTTCTTTAAGACAGGCACTGATTCAAAGTAGACACTTATTAATTTAGAATAACGCATGTGGTTTCCAATTGTGCTCATTTTGTTAGGACTTTCATGCATTCAATACTTAAAGCTTGCTATTTCTTCAGTCTCGTTGCCAAGTGTTAAATAGTTCATGAGTTTAAATTAAGCAAATATTGAGCGCCTTCTATTTACGATAAATTTAAAAGCAGAAATATATATATATATATATATATATATCTGTGTGTGTGTTTAGAAAGTGTCAATCTACCAACATGCTATTGAGCTCGTAAAACACTAATTTGAATGTAAATGTTGTGATGGATTGTAACAATGATGCGAGCTCAAGTAAGTGTGAGAACTGTCAAGAAATGCAATGAAAAAATACAGGGCATTGGTTCCATATGGAAGTCTCGAAAAGGTAAAAAGATGTAGGTGAATGCTCAAATACTCATTAATAATTCAATTATTTAATCATCTATTTCTATCAAATGGCAGGCTTTCTGATAGTTATAAGTTGTTGAATGGTAGTTTGAAGTTAATTACTTGTTGATAGGTTTTTTTTGGTGTACGCTTCTCAAAGTGTACCACGTGGAGGTAAGCCTATTGCACTTATATCGCTACCATCCCTACGATTAAGTAATTAATATATACTAATATGACGTTTGGCCAGTAATTGTATTAGTAGACAAAGTTAGAATGGCATGTAAACCTATGTTAACTAAATTTATGACCATGATTGGCAAAGTTTTTTTCCATTTTAGTGCCAACGAAACAATTTCAATGGGCCTAAATGCGGTCCCAAGCCAACCTATGAAAACAAGAGAACATTCTCTCCCGAGCAAATGGCCATGTCAAACACCATTATTGGCCTACAGGCTGGTTCAAATAAGGGTGCTAGTCAGAAGGGCATGAGCATCGGTGCCGTTCGTCATATCGCTGATATTAAAGCAGACGACATGTCAAAGGACGCCCAAGGTATCATTGGTCTACAAGCTGGTTCAAACAAAGGGGCTAGTCAATCCGGTATGGCTATGGGCGCAATTCGTCATATTGCTGATTTACCTGTTGACGCAATGTCTGCGGAAGGTAAGACGATCATTGGCCTTCAATCGGGCTCAAATAAAGGAGCAAATCAAGCTGGTATGGCTATGGGCAGCATTCGTCATGTCGCAGACATGAAAACGGGAGAAATGACAGAGGGTGGAAAGACCGTGATTGGTCTCCAAGCGGGCTCGAATCAAGGTGCTAACCAATCAGGAATGTCAATGGGAAGCATTCGTCATATTGCTGACCTGAAAACGGGAAAAATGTCAGACGAAGGCAAAAGTGTGATTGGTCTTCAGGCGGGCTCGAACAAAGGCGCGAGTCAAAAGGGAATGAATATTGGCAATACACGCCACATTGCTGATATGAAAATAGATGATATGTCAGCAGAGGCAAAGAATTTCGTTGGTCTTCAGGCAGGAACAAATCAGCTTGCTAGTCAAACGGGCATGAGCATGGGCGGAATTCGTCATATCAATGATCTTAAAGTTGGAGAGATTTCCGAGAGTGGAAAGAAGGAAATTAGCCTCCAAGCTGGATCAAATGCTGGTGCTAATCAAGCTGGCATGTCGTTTGGTAATCGACGCAACATCCCCAGGAAGTGAATTGGAATGACTTTGATAAGCCATTTGAATTAGATTGCTATTTTTTGCTTTGACCTTGCTTCGAGACTGAAAATCGATCATGTCTTATTTCCTTTCAGATATTTTAAACTAGCTGAACGCGTTTTACTTGAAATCAAGAACTAATCTGATTCTTCACCTACAATTTTTTTAACTGAGCTTAACTATTTTAATTGAAAGAGGAATGGAAGTCCAATTTTTTGATCTGTTGGACAGCGGGCTATTCAATTATTGATTAGGCCATTGGATTCTTTTTAATAGATTAGTTCATATAAAGCTGCTCTTCGTAGAGGAGCTCAATGTGAGACGCGGTATAAATGTACATTCTTTTTCAAATATCGTTCTATAAATTAGTATAAAATGCTTATTAAAATTTCATGCTTTAAACTTTGTTTTCTACTGAGGCGAATAAAGACACGCTTAAGAGAAATGTACATCCCGAAAAGTAAGTAGACTATTTAAGTTAACGCTTACCTGGCTGGCCAAAACCTCATCAATTAAATCAGTTGCCTATATAGGAGAATAAACTTAGCCCACTGACATTTATATACTTTTAACTCTGAGGTTTACAGTTGACCGAGGCGACATGAGTAAGTGCGGGTGATGACCCTTGGCTTTGTACCACTTACTTGTCACTAGTATCACATTAAGATAAGGCACGTATACATTTCGCCCATAAACGACTGTGTAAGGCATAAACTAAATCAAAATCTATTTTGAACTTCCTCTCACAAACTCACTGCCTGGCACGTATTTATGACTCACCGACTAAACCTTTGCCTCCAATTATACATTCCTTTCTCACTCCTCACGCTTCCAGTGCAACATTGATTCCAAACAACCATCACCATGCCTATTTTGATGAAGATTGTAGTATTTAATTAGTCATTAAGGCCAAGTAAGTTGATTTAGATATTGCAAAATAAGACAAATAAAAGTAGTACATCCATTTAAGTCATTTAGTGCACCTTGAAATAAGGTAGAATTGCAGTTGACTTGAGGATATATTTTTGTAAAAAGTTAAACTGAACGAGATTTCACCGATTGTGGAAAAAGGAAAGCAATCAATTTTATCTCGTATTTTGCGTGAAAAAGGGCCTTAGAGAAGATGAATATGACAGTTTTGAAGAAAAATTGACTGCAAACACAGATATACAAAAAATTGTAATTTTGAAAGCTTTTGGAGTTCTTTTCCATTCGCAGTGTTTGACAGCGCTATTAATATTCGCCGATGTGATAAATCATAAGATGTGACAAGGTAAAAGTGTAATTAGGGAAATTATTTAATTCTTTCCATGAACGAAATCGGTATATATATATATTCCCACAATATTATCCCTTCACTATTTATAATGGCACTTATACTTTAAACTATTTATGCGAGATAATATGATTTGTGTTAAATTGCATATTGATCGAATTAAACAAGAATTTATTTATATCAAATGGTAGGCGTTTTGATAGTTATCATTAGCCACTTAGCTGACTTCGGGCTTCACAGAGTGGGTGGGGGGGGGGGGGGGGGGGGGCCATCAAAGTCACAAAAGTCGAGGGATGGGGAACAGAAGAGTGAATCGCAGATACAAAAGAGCAGGCACAAAGGTGAGGAAAAAATATAAGATGAGTACTGTGGAAGTGGTCGAAGGAGACATACGGTGGGGTGATAGTAGTTTGAAGTCAGAAGTCAACTGCCGGTTGATAGACTCTTTTGCCGTATGAATATACGCTTCCAAGGGTGAACCACGTGGAGGTAAGTTAATCGCACACTCCTGGCCATCAGATAAAATTATTTAAATTTGGGGGTAACTAAGTTTTCGCTATTATGAATAGAACGAGTATTTCCCTTCTACTGAACGAGATATCAGCGTGATATAATTTTAGAACAATAAATCACATCGAAACTGAAAAAAACAACCTCAAACCCCACCACCAAAGATTTGACTAGATACCCACTTCGAAAGAACAGATGGTCGTTCTAAAGCTAATGGAATTAACCGGCTTTTCCTGATTGAGAAGTCCAAGGGGGAAGTGGGGCCACTTATTTTGAAGGCAGCTGCTAGTGATGGATAAGGTCAAGGTGGGCGCAGTAGAAAGTGGAATCGGATAGAAAGAAGAATGGGACTGCACTGCGGGGGGGGGGGATTCGGGTTGAGGGAAACGGGTAAAACGAAGCACGATAAGGTGGCTGACAGACGTCGCGTTCTTTATTCTTTGATAAGCTAGTGATAATAGGGTTGGAATAGGTACATGGAGACCGAACAGACCAGACAGAGGAATATTTTTGAATTTTTCTTTCTCCCGTAATTTTTAAGCCTTTCTTTTTCCGGTTTTCATAATATCTTCAAATGCAATCTAAGATCACACTCAATATCAAGATATTTTATTTTAAAAAGCTTATCTCAGCTAAACACTACAAATAATATGATATATGGGGTGTGCGATAGACTTACCTCCACGTGGTACACCCTGAGTAGCATATACTCATACGGCAAAAAAGTCTTTAAACCGGCAGTTGGCTTCTGACTTCAAACTTCCATCACCCCACTGTATGTCATATTCGACAACTTTCACAGTACTCACCTAACATTTTCCTACCTTTTCTAACTTCGTCTTTGAAACTCTTCTGTTCCTCCCCCCCCCCTCTCGACTTTTTTTTCCACTTTGATGTTCCTTCCCCTCTGTGAAGCCTGAAATCAACTAAAGGGCTAATGATAACCATCAAAACGCCTGCCATTTTATATAAATAAATAATATGATATATCATGCAAATATGCACATGAAGTTCCATGCGTCAAATTTTTTTTCAATAACTAGTGCAAAACACTGGTATGCCCAAGACATGCTTATTTATTTATAATTCGCTTATTAAAGCAACAAGACACATGTCTTCAAAACAATTTCGAGTTTCTTTGAGAACCTTAGAGCTCAAAATGCGAGAGGTCTGCAATTGTGATTAATCTATCTCCAAATTTACAGTTATCAGCTTATTAGCGAGAACTTTCCATATAGAAGTGGGAGGCGGTGAATGCTTCTTGCATCAAATGAAATTAAGATGATTTGTGAAGAACGAAGCACAAGCGAATATGAACCCCCGTTTAGAAAAGCGACCTGAAATGTGGTAATCTTCCATTTGCACTAAAAAATGTTGGCTTTCAATGGGGGTCGACTTTTTGAAGAACAAAGTGCTTTTGATATTCGAATTACTACTTAGGCCACAAAGAACACCTAAACTTCAAGTTTGCCTTCTTAGTCGGGAAATTGAACGAGTTTTTTTCAATACAACTGCATCGAAAATAGTATGTGTTCCCATACTTGTCATAATGTTTTAAAACACATCTTCTACAGTCAAAGTATTTGTGTTTATTAAATAGGCCATGGCTTTCATTGCGGCACATATGGTGAAAATGGAACGAAAATGGCCCTAAAATAACTTAATTAGTTAAGCTGCCATCGAGTTAACCTTTAAGTTCATCAGTAGATGTGAATGTGAATCTGCCAAATAAAATTGTTGACCACACGATAAATTCCCACGAATATCCTGAGACTTGAGGAGAATTGGCTTCTATGGAGTACATATAATCACCTCTGTCTCCTGCTCACTCAGGCTGGAAAGTTGCGGCGTTCAACTTCCCATAATGAGTAAGTGCGGTCGTGAGTGCGGAGAACACCCAACCAACCGTCAATAAATGGTCCCCGCTTGGTTTATCAAACCCGTCATATTCATTATAATGATTAAGCTCCTTGTCAGAACACTCACCACACACAGGACTCATCCCAAATAAACGTTTTGAGGTAGGATAGCTAATTCTGGGAGTCTTTCCAAACATATGAGAATCCGTGTATAGTTAAAGCTTATTGTGGAAATCTACTACACTTCTCCTAACCTCAAATATGCCTGTTTTTTCTATCAAAACAATTTTAACTGCCTTAAAATAATTGAGCTTGATTAGATTAAGATGCAATCATTCAGGGATTTTTGGCCCTTTTCAAATGGTCCTCAAAATTTATCAATATGTTAAGTCAATAACAATGCTATCAGAAATAAAACATGCAAACGTAGAGTTGATGAGACTTTGGCTATTACCAATCTTGATTTCCAGTCATTTAGATGCGAAGCTCGAGCTGAATTTAATCTAATTTGGTCCCTTGAGTATTAAGCTTAAGCCAGAATCAGGTTAATATGTACAATTGGGGATGAATTTGGATTGATTAACTTTGTGAAACTTTAAGCGATTACTAAAAACGGTGTAACTATTACCGACTAAAAAGTAAAATAAGTAAAATGCACTCATGATAAAATTAGCTCTAGGAAATTGTTACATCAAATGGTAGGCTTTATGAGAGTTATCATTTACCCTTTAGTTGACCTCTGGCTTCACAGAGGGGAGGAACATCAAGGTCATAAAAAGTGAAGAGGAGAAACAGTGGAGTGATTCACAGACGTGCAAGAGGCAGATATACACAAAAGTATGGAACAGGGTAAGATGAGCATTGTTGAAGTGATCGAATGTGACATACAGTGGGGTTATGGTAGCTTGAAATGAGAAGCAAACTGCCGGTTTATACGTTGCCCGGGATGCGACACGTGGGGGTAAGTCTGTCGCACATCCAAATAATAGGAAATAAAAATACCATTAAATCTTGGAAACCGTATATTTGACTGCCTAAGTTAATGTTATTGGTTGTTCAAATACAAGAATCCCTATTGAACCATTTTAACAGATGCTACGCAAATAAGCCTTGACAAAACCACAGTAATCTCAAGGTTAAAATCCCCTAAATGCATCTACTTCCAGAATTAACTAAACTTCCTCAATAATATCTACCTGGATAGTGTTTGTTCTGTTTTCATTACTACCACTAAGATCATTCATTAAAATACAGCTAAGATCCCGTTGAAGAATGCAGAGACTATCGATTATGAGATGTCGCAGTATCTATGATTGCACTTGCTCCCTACTCGATCAGTAGCACGGCCGCACCATCAAGACTGTTTGAGTGCACATGAGATTTCTGTTTTCATTCATGGTAGCGGGTTTACGTTCCTTAATTTAAAAGTTTCGTTAGTATAATGTTATATTTGTTTCAATATCGTTATCATTTGTTAATGTCATCAGTATTTAAATTAGTCGTTTAAGATATCGCAAAGCTATAGAGGATAGCAAAAATTATGCCTATTTCAAAAGATCTTTACGCTCGTTTTGAAGATGCACATATTATGAAATATAAGATTCGATCACGTTGTCATAAATATATCGATTTTGTATTAAAGATTTCAAGGTTTATTCTTACTCTACATTGGCACACAACAATCTTGCTTAATATCTGAATTTTCTAATTTTTCATCCAATAAGTAAAAAATCAAAGCGTCATTTTCTTGATTCATTGTTTGCATAATATTTACGCAAAAGCATGTAGCAACGTGTAGGAAACAACTATTGAGTTACTGCAAATAGCTGATAACTTAATAATTTTTTTGCAAAAAATATTTAGTACTCAAATAGAAGGTCTGTTAATCATTAGAATAATGTAATGATGTTACATTTTGAAAACGAGCACGATTTAATAATCTGCTTCATCATTTTCAAGGTCACTTATAGGCTACGCAATGGTTCTAACTGCATTTGGTGACATCGGTAAATCTTCTAAGGACATCTTCACCAAATATTTCAAAAATAATCTCGTCAACTTTGATTTTAAGTCGAAGACCGACGATGACGTTGATGTTCACATTCAATGCAACGAAGATAACTCTCAAATACTTGCTTCAGCTGATATCACCATTAGACCCATTGAGGGAGTCGCACTGAAGACTAAAGTTGATTCGAGTAATCAACTTATTAGTGAAGTTGAATTTAAAAATAAATCGTTTGACACTCAACATAAGATTGTTGGAACGATCGATCAAAATCTAAGGTATGACCAAATTTGCTCATATTAAACGACAACGTATAGCAAAAAGAACTTGAAGCTCAAGAATTGCTTCAAAAGGGAGAATTTCAACGCCGAAGTGGAAATGGACTTCGCCTCAAAGTTACCAGTGACAACCGCTTCTTTGGCTGTTGGGTAATTTCGTACTCACTATCATCAAGTTTTTCATCTAGAGATAAAGGTTATATTGCCGGTGCTCAAGTGATGGTTGATAGTGATGGGTTTAAAGTCACAAACCATTCATACTCTGTTGGATATATCGGAAATAAATTCGAAACGTACGGTTTCTTCAATAACAATAAGGAAGTGGAGTGGAGACTATTTCAGTCCTATAAGCAATTTAGCCTAGGGTGGATGTTTGGATGGGCTGGTAATCTAACAAATACCCGGTTCGGAATTGCTTCTCTGTACAAAATCAACGATGAAACTTTTGTAAAAGCGAAAGTGGATCAGAATTCTCGTCTTTCTCTTGCGTACGGCTTCAAACCCACACCCGGTACGCCCATAATTTTTTTGTGTGACTTGGTCACTCATGTCTGTTTGACTGTCTCTTTTTTGTTCTGCTTTTTAGAAACTCAAGTTGTGGTTTCCATGATCACATCTCTTAATCGGAACGACCCGGCTAGTAGCAGTGGTCTTACCTTTGAAATCTCGAACTAATCGTTTGTTTCTTTAGCGTAATTAGTGCAGCTATTAGTGAATGCAAAAATAATAATGATAATAATAATGCCTCCTTCAAAGTTGTTCTTGCTATGGGACTGAATCTTGTATTTTCTGATTTAGGAATTTGTCATTCTCAGTTATAGAGCGATTCCGATTTACTCTTGCTTTGAAATTAGTTGTCAGTGTTTAGAACTACGGCAACTACGTTTAAGCATTTTATCCTGATAGTCTTAAAACGGAAACTAATGAGCTGATAGTGGATATGTAGAAATTAAAATTGGTGGATGTCCTTTGTCAAGATTTTGTATGATGAATTCAGTACCCCAGTGTCATCTTGTATGAATTGATTCTCATCGCTTTTGATCGCTTTATATCTAGCGAATCATTATATATAATCGGGATGTATCTCCCACGACGAAGACAATGGGGCTAGAGATGAACGTCTAAAAATTGTTGGGAACTCTCGAACTACTTGGCACAGGCATCGTTACTTTATCAGCGGTGACGGTTCCTTGGGCATTTTCATGCCCTCAAATTCGATTGGTTAGTTGCAGTTTGACAGAAGGCCATTATTCGCGCCCTAAGCATGCTGTTTTGTTTCGTCGTATCTCCCTTACTTGATATTGGTACTAATTTAATCCCCCAGTTAATAGGTCGCCAATTTAAATATTACTAAAGTAGTTCGTTAGTATTTGATGTTTCATGGAATTAAGCCTTGGCTGGGACAAATGATTTCGATTTTTAAGAAGTGTAATTTACCAAATTTTCAACTTCAACACTTTATACCTTGAAAGGGAAGCACACTGACTTCATAATGACTCTCTATGGGGTTTGTATTCGGTATATAGGTAACTTTATGGAGGGGACTGATGTACTAAAGCTCCACCAATGGGAATAAACGGTGCATATGCTCTGCCAGTAGTTTACGACTACTAATGGGATTTGAAACGTGTTCAATGATCTCTTCGCTCGTCTATTTCATGACCGAAGAGTAAGACAGGGTATAGGTGAAATCAAATGAGATTTGTCATGTTAACTAAGACTATGCCGGGGTCTTCCATACTAACTGTCAAATGTCCAACTAAGAACTTTGCAAGGGCAAGCTTGCCACCACCACCGAATCTCGTAAACTCGATAAATGTCGATAATTGCAGTTGGCATCCTGGCTCCTCCAAAGACGAAACTTAGATTAACAAAATAAGGTCAAATTTTCAAGTCGGAAAAAAGTCTTACTGACAAATTAGATTAAACCTCAATTTGAGTTGTGCAAATATAGTTGGGTATAGGACTAATGTCTCCGATTCTCGAAATCTGCTTCTTTCCCTCAAAATGTTAATTCAACTCCCCC